ATCGGAGGACGCGTTGTTTGCACAAGCGCTGCAATGGAAGGCGGCGACCTGCTGGCAGCGAGGCCCAGCGCGCGGGCGAGCCACTTCGCCGCCGCCTTCCTCCCAGATGTCTCAGATGTCGTCCTCCGCCGCGCCGGGCCCGATGACGAACCCGAGGTGCGCGGCTTCGTCCTGGATGGACATGCCCGGCCACGCAGCGCGGCGCCCCTGAAACCAGGCGCGCAGCTCCGTCACCGCCGTCGCGGTCAGCTCATCACCTAGGGGGATCAGGATGCACCTGTGGAACTTCAGGCGCAAGCCCGCGAGAGTTCGCGCAGCCTCAAACGCCCTCCAGAGGCCACGCAAGAGCCTGCGCGACAAGAGGACGCATCCCACGTCATCAGCGCACACACCCAGAGCCGAGAGAGGGCTCATGTCAGTGTACCTCATCATGTTGTGAATGAGCGGGTTCATGGCAATCGCGCACGCACTGCCCGAAGAAGGGCACCCCTGCGCAATCCCGCGCTAGATGCAGGCGAAATGCCCCACCACACCCGCCAGCGGCACGAAGGAGGTCGGGAGCCAGTAAAAAGGGGGGCAGCGCGTGCAGCAGGCCACCCTCGAAGCCCGAGAAGACGAGCATGTCCGCCATCCACTCCGCCATCAGCGGCGGGAACGCATCGCCGAAGTCGAAGAGCGCGAGCAGCGGCTTCGCGGCGGCCACGCCATCCTGGAAGCCCGCCGCCCTGGCCGTCGAGTCCAGCAAGGTTACGTTGCCCGGGGAGTTGCGGCCCCTGAGGAAGCCGCGCTGCGGTGCAGGGGGGTGCTCTCCACGGCGCCCTTGATACGAACATCGGTGGCAGCAGCGACCAACTTGCAGTCCGAATTCTTCAAGCCGGTCGCGCGCGCGGCGCCGGGAGTGCGGAGCGCCCCATCGGCGGCATCCTCCTCTGGGGAACCCTTGGGAAGGAAAGCCCTCAAGTGTTCATTCCACTCGGCTGGCGGGACACTGTCCTTCGCGATCTCCAGCGCCCCATCCTCGAGCGCCTCGATGGCGGCAAGACAGCGGCACCATGCGTAGTACGGCGCGCCGTCAGGGCCAGGAGCCGACTCCTTGGCGCGAGATGCAGCACGAGAGAGAGCGAACTTGTCGGGCGGCAGGATCCGCTCCGCCAGTAGCTTGGGGGCGTGAGTCTGCACGTACTTAAGCTTAAGCGCCAGCCTCTGCCAATCATCCACCTGCGGTCTGACTTGAAAAAATGGGCGCCCAATGGTCACGCAGCGCCTCGATCTGTCAGAGTGCTCGACAAGGACCTTGTAGCCCCCATCGTCGGGCACCGTTCTGCCCTGCAACTTGAGTCCTGCCGAACGGCGACCACATCGCTGCACGTTTGTTGAGCTTCCTGCGCAGGGCACATATCATCTTCAAGGACGGCGCGTCCAAATATTTGGCCTCCCGCTCAGACAACGCAGCAGCCCGCGCCTCGAAGTGCATTTGCTGCTCCTGAGCGAAGTCACGGGCACATGTAGGCGGGTGCAGCAGATTGACCTGATTGCCCGCGACCTCGAAGTACTGCCGCGCAGGTACACACGTCTGCAAGAGACAACGCCCGAACTTCGCATCATCACGCCAAGCCGCTCTCGAAATCGACCGAAACATCAGTAGTTCATTCTCGCCATGAGGCAAACGCATCCGAATATCCCGAATGTACCGGGCGGCATCCCTCATCAACTGCGTGTGGCGACGACGCTTGCCGAACGCCGAAAGCTGCAACCAGTCCACCAGGTCGCACAGACGCAGGTACTGCAGCTTGCACTCAGGATCCTTGAAGAGGTGCAGAGGGATGCGCTGCTGGTCAGACTTTTTTTGGCGGCGCGGGGCCACCAAGATGACGACAGGCACGTCACGTGGTCGCTGATCCCGCGCTCATGCAGTACCTCTGGCATGTCAGGCGTGACGGCCGTGATGTGGTGCTGCAGTGCAAGCCAACTCGGAGTCGAGATGAAGACCCTGTCGATATGTGTCAACTTGGGCTGCCATTCGCTAGACACATCGTGAGTGGGAAGCGCATTTTCAATTTCCACCATGCGCGTGAAAATGCTGCGCCAGAAGCCATCATGCGGTAGAGCAGCCGTGTCGCCAGGACTCCTACGCCTGTCGACCTCTGGTGCACGAGGTACATTGGCAACTGTTTGTAAGGGTTGATACATCCAAGAAAAAGGACTGAGACACGACTAGGTGCCATCTCCACCACCGTCAAGTCAGAGAAAATATTTGCTCGAAAAGCAGCCCTGTCATCATCCGTTAAGTCGAAAGTGTACACACTATACCATGTGTATGTATATACGTATGTATGCATGCATGAATGCATGCATGTATGTGTGTGTATATATATATATATATATATACTGGAACCATCGCGCCCGCTTCGCGCGCGCTCAGGTTCTAGCAGGCCCCAGGCCTTGACGAATTCACTGCTCCACTGAAGTAGTGGATCACACTACACGGATTCCAATCTGCATTCCGAAAAGGCCTTCGAGGAAGATGGTTGTGTAGAGGGGCGGGGGCCGTATGAATCGGGTTCCCAGAAGGCCTTCTGGGAGCATGGGTTTGGGGGCGTCTTGGGGAGCCTGTTGGTGCGTGCCGTCGTCGTCGTCGTAATGCCGTCGTCGTCGTTTCGTCGTCGTCGATTCAAGAGGGAACTTGGGGCAAGTTTGTGCGAAACGATCTGCGGAGGGCCGCGAGAAGGCAATTAATCATGTTCCCAACCAACTTCCCAGACAACTCTTCTGTAGCATGATGGTACTTCGAAGCCTCCGGAGACTCGCAGACCCATGATGAACCATGTCCCCGGAAGGCCTTCTGGGGACATGGTTTGTTGGGGTGTGTGAGGGGGTCTCTTGGGCGTTCCCTGGGGACCCCTTGGGGGCCTCCGGGAACTCTCGGGCCCATGATGAACCATGTCCCCGGAAGGTGTTCTGGGGACATGATTTCTTGGGGTGTGTTGGGGGGCCTCTTGGGCGTTCCCTGGAAACCCCTTGGGGGTCTCTTGGGGCTTCCTGGGGGCCTCCTGGGCGCCTCACGGGGTTTCGTGGGAGCCTTGGTGGCCTCCGGGGGCCTACAGGCGGCCTGGGGCCAGAGACCTCGAAATATTGGTTGGCAGTCCCCCTCTGGGCCTTCTCTTGGGGAGCTCTTGGGGCACAGTTGGGTTGTCTGGGGAGCCTCCTGGGCCGTCTTGGGGCCCTCGTCGGGGCCTCGTGGCCCGTCTTGGAGCGATCTGAAGGGCCTCCGAGCGAGGCCGTGAGGGAGCGCTGGGAAGTGGGGAAAGCGAGAACGCTTAAATCCTTCACAAACCATTGGAAAATGTGTGTATATTGCCTCCCATGGCCCTCTCGGAGAGCCTCTTGAGTCCGTCCTGGAGCGTGTTGGAGTCCTCGTCGGCCGTCTAGGGCAGCTTGGGCGTCTTCGGGGCCTCTTGGGACCGTCTAGGGCCCTCTCGGGACCTTCATTAGCCTGTCGTGGCCTGCTTCGGGGCGGGCCCAGGCCGCCTCAGGACCCCTCTGGGCCTTCTCTTGGCGCGCTCTTGGGGCACACTTGGATTGTTTGGGGAGCATCCTGGGCCGTCTTAAGGCCCTCGTCGGGGCCCTCGTGGGCCTTCTTGGAGCGATCTGAAGGGCCTCCGAGGCCGTGAGGGAGCGCTGGAAAGCGGGAAAAGCGAGAACGCCAAACTCCCAAACACTCGGAAAATTAGTGAATCTTGCTTTCCAGGGCCTTCTTGGGGAGCCTCTTGAGTCCGTCCTGGAGCGTGTTGGAGTCCTCGTCGGCTGTCTTGAGGGCATCTTGGGCGTCTTCGGGGCCTCGTGGGACCGTCTTGGGCCCTCTCGGGACCCCCTCAGCCTGTCGTGGCCTGCTTCGGGGCGGGCTCGGGCCGCCTCGGGAGCTCTGGACACCCCCAAGCAACCCCCGGTGGGCATCGATGGGGGGAACAGGCAGCGGCCGGCCCACTCCCCCCGGGCCTACTCCGAGATAGAGAATCATGTTCCCACCAAGCTCTCCTCGAGCATAATATTTGTTCGGCTCTCTTAAGAGGGGGGCCTCTGCTGGGGGCTTACCGAGGGGCGCCTTTGGGCCTTGTCGGCAAACCTCTTGGAAACATGGTTGGGGCGGTGGGCGGAAGAATCATGTTCCCGGAAAGTTATCTGGGAAATGCGATTTACCGAAGTGTCTTGGGGACCCGCAGGGGGCTTCCCTGGGGGCCCCTTGGGGGCCTATTGGGGCTTCCGGGGGGGCCTCTTGGGAGCCTCACGGGGCTTCTTGGGAGCCTCTTGATGGCCTCCTGGGGCGTCCTAGGAGCCTCTCAGGCCGGAGACCTTGAAATGTCGCGCTCTTCGGGCCCTCTTGGGTCGCTCTTGGGGCTCTCTTGGGGCGCTCTCGAGGCCCTCTTGACTGATCTGGGGAGCTTCCTGGGCCGTCTCTGGGCTTTCTTGGGGGCCTCTTCGGTCTTGGAGAGATCTGAAGGGCCTCTGACGCGGTCCGGGACCGTGGGGAGGTGGAACATGGGAGAGTGCAAAAATGCTTCAAACACCAATGGAACATTTATTTTTTTCGGCTTCGGGGCGTTTTGGCGGCGTCGTCGGTCGTCCTGAGGCCATCTTCGGCGTGACTGGGGCATCTGGGGGCTGTCTTTGGGCGTCCTGGGAACCCAGAAATCATGTTCCCAGAGAGGCTTCTGGGAACATGATTTCGAACGGGGCCCTCTTGGGCCTCCCTGAGGCCGTCTTCGGGGCCTCCTGGGCCGGCTTTGGGGCCTCTTGGGTCGTCTTGGGGGGTTCCGTGAGCCCCACAGGCCGATCCTTTTGGGCCGTCTGGGGCCCTCTTGGGTCTCTCTTGGGCTGTCTTGGGGCTCCTCGGGGGCGTCTGGGGCACTGCGAAGACAAAGCAAGGGCGTATGCTGAAAACGCACGTTTTACGAAAGAAATGGGCAGATATTTGCCTCTTGAAGGCCCTCTTGGGGCCCCCTTCGGCCATCTTCAAGTAATCTCTGGCCCTCTTGGGCCTCGCTGAGGCTGTCTTGTGGGCCTTTTGGGCGTCCTGGGAACCCGGAAATCATTTTCCCGGAGAGGCTTCCGGGAACATGATTTCAAACGGGGCCCTCTTGGGCTTCCCTGAGGCCGTCTTTGGGGCCTCCTGGGCCGGCTTCGGGGCCTCTTGGGCCATCTTGGGGGGTTCCGTGAGCCCCACAGGCCGACCCTTTTGGGCCGTCTGGGGCCCTCTTGGGTCTCTCTTGGGCTGTCTTGGGGCTCCGCGGGGGCGTCTGGGGCACTGTGAAGACGAAGCCAGCGAGCATGCCGAAAATGCCGTTTTACAAGAGAAATGGCAGATGTGCCTCTTGAAGGCCCTCTTGGGGCCCTCCTCGGCCATCTTCAAGCCATCTCGGGCCCTCTTGGGCCTCGCTGAGGCTGTCCTTGGGCTCAGTAGGGGGCCTGGGAGCCCGGAAGTAATGTTCCCGGAAAGGCTTCCGGGAACATGATTTCAAACGGGGCCCTCTTGGGCCTCCCTGAGGCCGTCTTGGGGGCCTCCTGGGCCGGCTTCGGGGCCTCTTGGGCCATCTTGGGGGGTTCCGTGAGCCCCACAGGCCGACCCTTTTGGGCCGTCTGGGGCCCTCTTGGGTCTCTCTTGGGCTGTGCTGGGGCTCCGCGGGGGCGTCTGGGGCACTGTGAAGACGAAGCCAGCGAGTATGCCGAAAATGCACGTTTTACGAAGGAAATGGGTCGATGTTTGCCTATTGAAAGCCCTCTCGGGGCCCTCACGGGCCCTCTTGGGGCGCTCTTGGGCGTCTTCGGAACCTCTTCAAGCTTTCGTGACCATCTGTACGGCCCGCGTGGCCTGTCGTGGGCAATTTGGAAGCGGCCCGGGGCAGTCCCGGGAGGTCTGTGACCCCCCAAAGGTTCGGGGGGGCCCCCTATGGGGGATGACGGCACCGATTTTGCCCCCCCCCCCGGCCTACTCATATATATATATATATATATATATATATATATATATATATATATGTGTGTGTGTGTGTGTGTGTGTGAATGTATGTATGCATGTTTGTATGTGTTTATGCATGTATGCATGTATGAATGCATGCATGCATACATGTATGGATGCATGCATGCGTGTATGTACGCATGTATACATGTATGCGTGTGTGATTACATCTGTATGTATGTACGTATGCATGTATGTATACATGCATGCATACATGCATGCATGCATGTATGTGTATGGTTGTGTGTCTGTCTGCCTGCCTGTATAATGGATGTATGTGTGCATGCATACATGCATGCATGCATGCATGTATGTATGTATGCATGC